AGCATCTGCCTTCGGCTCGGGTCATGACCCCAGGATCCTGGGATCATGACCTGAGCCGAAGGCAGACGCTTAACGACTGAGCCACCCAGGCGCCCCCCCCAGACCTTCTGATTTAATTGCTATGGAGTATGACTGACTCCCCAAGTGATTCTGATGGGGAGCAGTTTGAGAACCAATGTCCTAATGTTTCCTAAACCTACCAAATCACGGAAGACTCACCTGAGGAACCATAGAAAAGTAACAGATCCCCCACCCTGGGGTGAGGCTTGGAATGTTAACACGGTCCACGGGAATTCACCTGATCAGGCAGGTATTGGCTTCTAACAGCTATCAGCCCAGCAGCAGTAAGTTCTGACAGGATTCAGTGAAATGGCTTCCCACATACGGGCTGTACATCAGAACCACCTGGCCCACTCTCAGGTTTGGATTTAGTGAGTCTCATTAAGTACCGCCACCAACTCCTTGCCCCCCAGTGATTGTGATTCACCCTTAAATTTTGAGACCTGCTACTAACTGGTTAACTAAACTCACATTGCTGGATTGGATCGGAAGCGCTTAGAATGAAGGGCTCTCAGCTTTTCCCTCTTGGCTTTTGATACTAGGGGGAGGATTAGTTTAACCCTATCTTAGGGTATCTGTAAAGTTCTAGACTACAGGAAGTATGCACCGGATGATGTAGTACCCACTAGTCACCTGTGGCTTTTGAGCTCTTGAAATGGACCTACTCCAAATCAAGATGCTCTGTCAACATAACATACACACGAGGTTTCGAAAACATAGTGCAAAACAACCAAAAAAGTAAAATAGGACATTAATACACCTTAGATTGATAACATGTTAAAATATTTTGGATATATTTGGTAACATAAAATCTATCATTAAAATTAATTTTACCTATTTTTCTTTTTAATATGGCTACTAGAAAGTACATTACATATGTGGCTTGTGTTACCTTTCTGCTGGACAGCACAGCTTTCTAAGGTTCCTGGAGTGTTTGCTACCTTGATCATGAGGATCTATAAAGCAGTAAAAGCTTTATCCATCTTCCTATGATCAAAACTGACTCAGGATCTGAGCTAAGGGCTTTTTTCTTTCTTTCTTTTTAACTCATCTCTTAGCTTCCTGATCCAATTCATCTTAGACTAAACATGCATTTCTCAATTATCTAATTCTGTTATCTGTCATATGATGAGGAGGTAGTCAATTACATAGTGATCCCTGTAAAACCATGTGTCTCTCTTCAGCAACTCACTGAACACTATGGTAAAATAATGGTAACCTTCCTGCCCTAAGTTTCTGTGTGCCTGAATAGAATTAAATGAAAGCTTTATATTGCAGCTAAATTCCTAGAACCCCTGAAGAAAAGGCCTTATTTGGGGAAAAGCCTGTCTCTAGGATGGACAATGAATATGGAGACTGCTCAGACCAGACTAACGTATAAGTAACCAAAACCAGTGATTTTTTGAAGTTTCAGCAGCTAGGGCTTATAAGAGGAGACAGATGCTAGCATTTCTTGTTTCTAGAAATAATAACAACAATAATAGTTGCCGGTAGGTGTTTAATAACAGCTCTGGCAGGAAGGAGTTCTGATTTGTAGCATTGGCCAATTTCCATGGTGGAAATACTCCCATCAAGGCCAATTTCAGCCTACAATGGCAACACAAACATTGTTCTAAACATCTACTAGGCAAAACTCATTTAACCTCACAACTACCCTGTGAAATCCTATTATCATTCCCATCTTATTGATGGGAAAAACTGAGGCATAGAGAAGTTAAGCAACTTGGCCAAAGTTATGCCTGATGAACGGTGCAGCTGAGAAATGAACCATGATTGCTGGCTTCAGTTTGTGTTCCAGTGTCCTAACCACTACGCGCTAATGTCTTTAGATTTTTAGTTATTCAGACTGGTTGTAAGGCCCCCAGTTCTTCCCAGAGAAGAGAAGCATACATGTGACCTGAATTCTTGGAGAAAAAATGTAAGAAACTAGTATAAAAAGTTACTTGAACAGTGAGATTCTCTTTTCTAGAGGGAATATAGCATACAGGGCAAGAAAAGAGGCTTCAGAAGCAAAAGACTTGAGTTCAAATCCTGACTTTGTCATTCGCTAGCTGTGTGGACTTTGGGCAAGTGACGTAACCTCTCTGTGTCTCAGTTTCCTCCTCTGTAAAACTAGAGAATAATAATGATATCTGCCTTATAAAGTCGTCAGGATTAAATGTTAATACATATATAGAGCTTAGATCAGTACCTGGCACCTGAAAACACTCAAATGGTAACTATTATCATAATTTTTGTCATCTCTTGGTAATTCTGCAGGTCGTGGTGCGTTGGAAGTGCTCAAATACCTAATAAAGACAGCATTCATTGAGTACTTTCGTTGTGCTGATCACTATGCTAAGTGCTTTACCTGCGTCATCTCATTTATCTCCCACAAACAACCCTGTGATTTAGATTATACACCCATTTTGCAGAAGTGGTAATGGAGCCCCCCAAAGTCAAGCAGTTTTGCAAAGTCATGTAATTAGTGAACATTATACTGTCAGCCTTTGGCTATCAGAGGCTCCCTAGCAGCAGTTCAAATTCACAGAATCCTTATGGCAATTTAAGGGGCCTGTTTTATTTTGTAGGTGGGTGTTTGTGTGGGAAAAAGGCTACCAAGAAACAGATTCTGTGGTCAGCTCAGTTACTACCAAAGCCAAAGGCGTGACTGTAACCAACACTTCTACACTTGGATTCCGGGTCTGGGATGTGGCGGATTATGTGATTCCAGCCCAGGTATGCCTCCCACCGTGGCTTCTGTCTGACACCAAAGCTTCTGATTAGCTCCTTTCCCTTTACTGACTTTGCATTCTTTTTTTTTTTTTAAGATTTTTTATTTATTTATTTGACAGAGTGAGAGACACAGTGAGAGACGGAACACAAGCAGGGGGAGTAGGAGAGGGAGAAGCAGGCCTCCCGCCGAGCAGGGAGCCCGATGTGGGGCTCGATCCCAGGACCCTGGGATCATGACCTGAGCCGAAGGCAGACGCTTAACGACTGAGCCACCCAGGCGCCCCCTGACTTTGCACTCTTGGTTAATGATTGGCAGAGTTCTAACATCACGGAGACCCAGACTAATTGTCTTAGTCCAAGAAAGCAGTGCAGAAGGATCTCTTTCTGCCTTAAGGTCTAATAAACAATATTCAACCAGCTATGTTTCTTCAGCTTTAAATCATGGCTGGCTTAAACACAGACAACTCAGTCTGTCTCAAGCCCCGAAAGGTAGAAAAGCAAATATTTTAAATCCTGGGAAAAATTCGGGTGGAAATATTGCCTTCCCACATTTTGTATGGGCTTTATTGTTGTAAACCCACAAGGTAAATCTTTTCAGTGTAGAAAGTTGATCGGTAATTGGAGACCAAAGCCAGACTGGAAGGAAACAGACATAGGATTTCATCAGGAACAGAGGAGAAGGGAAGAAGGTGTTTGATACAGCATCCTAGTATCCAGTCTGTTAATCCACAAAGC